ATACGAGAGAGATCAGACATAAGGCGTACGGATCTGGTACATGTGGTGAAGCATTGGGGTTGGCTGTTACAGGTGGAAAGGGAAAGAAGAAATCTGGTAAAGGGGATTCGAACATAAATTCGAATTCTAAGGGTCTCGTACCACAGCCAAGCAATGTCTGTCACATCTATAAGGAAGTGGGTTATTGGAAGTACAACTGTCTCAGGAAGAGAGGGCATCAAAAGAACCAAGATTTTGTTGCCGTGGCAGAAGTAGACAATAGTTTTGAAGACGATCTCTCCTTGGCTGTAGATGAGAAGGAACATCGTGGCGATGTGTGGTTTCTGGATACTGCAGCCTCATATTATGTCTCCGAATAAGGACCGATTCTCAACCTACGAGCAGATAGATGGTGGTAGGTTATGGCGAATGGAGTTGTCTTCAAGGTGGTTGAAATCAGGTCTATCAAGATTCGGACACATGATGGGTCATTCTGCACCGTGAACGAAGTCATGCATGTTCCACCGATGACGAAGAATCTGATCTCCTTGAGTCTTCTCGACAACAAGGGCCTATGTTTCAAGGGAAGAGGTGGAATTATGTATGTCTGCAAAGGTTCAAGGAAGGTGCTGAAGGGCGTGAAGCATGGGACCTTGTATGCATTACAAGGATCGGTGTTGTTAGGTTCCGCTGCAATTGCATCGTCTCAGGTTCCATAGAAAGATATGACCACTCTCTAGCACATGAGATTGGGTCATATGAGTGAACGAGGGATGAAAATCTTGTCGAAGAGGGATCTTCTTTATGGGAACAAGGTGCAGAATTTGGACTTCTGTAAGCATTGTGTGTTTGGGAAGATACATCACATCAAGTTTCCTAAGAAGGGTATCCACCGAACGAAGGGAATACTGGATTACCTCCACTCCGACTGTTGGGGTCCTTCACGAGTTGAATCCATTAGAGGCAGCATGTATTTTCTATCTATTATTGATGATTACTCAAGGTTTACTTGGATTTTCATGATGAAGCAAATAAGTGAAGCCTTCATGAAGTTCAAGCGGTGGAAGAATTTGGTAGAGAATTAGATCGGGAAAAAGATCAAGAAACTTCGAACAAATAATGGTCTGGAATTCTGCAGTTCTGAGTTCAATGAATTCTGTAAGGATGAAGGGATTGCCCATCATCGGACCGTTAGAGATACACCACAACAAAATAGCATTGCAGAAAGGATGAATTAGATATTGTTGGAGAGAGCAAGGTGCATGCTCTCTAATGTTGGATGGGAGATGATGTTTTGGGTAGAAGCAGTTAACATGGAGTGCTACCTCATCAACCGTGGATCTCACACATGTATCGAGTTCAAAACTCCTTACGTTGTGTGGTATGGTAAGCCTGCTACTACTCTTCATCGAAAGTTTTTTGTTGTTCTGATTACTATCATGTGGATGAGGGTAAGCTGAATCCAAGAGAAAACAAGAGCGTTTTGTGAATTTTGGAGATGGAGTTAAGGGATTTCGAGTCTGGTCACCTTCTGAGCATAGAGTTATACTTAGCATGACTGTGATATTTGATGAGATGTCTATGTTTAACCTCATGTTGAAGGTTACTATTGTTGGAGATCGCAGGAATGTTGATAAACAGGTGCAGATGCAAACTCTCAAAGAGAGTGAGTTTGAGAACCAAGGTGGAGAAGATCAACATGTTGAGGATGTTTCTGATGAGCCAGAAGCATCAAAGTCCAGTGCTGGAGCTAAACAATCTATAGCTTACGGTATACTAAAGAGAGCGACTGTAGGAGTACCTCCACAGATGTATGGCTTCAAGGACATGGTGGCGTATGCTTTTCAGGTTGCTGAAGAGGTGGATACGGGTGAACCACAGTCCTATAGAGAAGCAGTTTCATGTGGCGAAGCCGCGTAGTGGCTTGCTGCAATGGGGGACGAGATGGAATCCCATGACAGAAATCAGACTTGGGAGTTGGTCAAACGTCCATAGGGGAGGAAGATTGTTACAAACAAGTGGATCTACAAGAAGAAGAAAGAAGGAATCACTTTTGAAGAGGGCATTAAATTTAAAGTTCGGGTAGTTGCAAGAGGCTTCTCGCAGAGGGAAGAAGTTGACTACAACGAGATTTTCTCACAGTGGTCAGACACACTTCGATCAGGGTGTTGTTAGCAATAGTGGCACATTATGACTTGGAACTCGAGCAGCTAGACGTGAAGACAAATTTTCTACATGGAGAGTTGGAGGAAGAAATTTACATGACTCAGCCAGAATGATTCCGGGTTCCAGGAAAAGAAGACTATTTTTGTAAGCTGAAGAAGTCCTTGTATGGACTTAAGAAATCTCCGAGTCAGCGGTACAAGAGGTTTGACAGCTACATGTTTGAGCTGGGCTACAACAGAAGTACCTATGATTGTTCTGTATATCACAGCAAGGCAGTGGATGGTTTGATGATATATCTAGTTATGTATGTGGATGATATGCTCATAACTATGAGGTCGAAGTATGATATCCAGAGGGTAAAGGGGCTTCTTAGTGCTGAGTTTGAGATGAAGGATTTGGGAGGTGCTCAGAAGATTCTGGGTATAGAGATTTACATGGATAGGTCAAAGAATAAGCTTTTCTTGTCACTGAAGATCTACATCAAGAAGATACTGTCCAGGTTTGTCATGTCTTCAGCAAAGCCCTTGAATACTCCTAGTGCTTCGAATGTTCATCTATCCCCAGTTTATGCACGAAAGTCAAAGGCTGAGAAGGAGTACAAGTCGAGGGTCTCATATGCTAGTGCAATTGGTAATTTGATGTACACTATGGTATGCAATAAACCTGATCTTGCACATGTTGTTAGTGTTGTTAGCAGGTTTATGATAAAACCTGGAAAGGAGCATTGGCAAGCTGTGAAGAGGATTTTCCGGTACCTTAAGGGTACATATGATGTGAGGATTAGCTTCGGAAGTGATACAGAGTGCATAGTGGCTGGTTTATTCCGATTCTGACTATGCTAGAGATGTTGACACGAGAAGATCGATGGCCGGTTATGTACTCACTCTTGGGAGTTCTGTAGTGAGCTGGAAGACAACTCTGCAGCCGACAGTGAAATTTTCTACTACTAAGGCAGAGTATATGGTGTTGACAGAAGCTGCTAAGGAGGGAATATGGTTGAAGGGACTGGTTGGTGATCTGGGTCTACATCATGATCAGGAAGTGGTGTATTGCAACAGTTTGAGTGCAATATGCTTGGCCAAGGATCAAGTCCATCATGAGAGGACTAAACACATCGATGTGAGGTATCATTTCTTGAGGACAGAGAAGAGGATTAAGATGAAGAAGATTGGCATCGCGGATAATCCTGCTGACATGTTTACGGAGTCGGTTCCACATGGCAAGTTCCAACATTGCTTGGACTTGTTGAATGTCTTAAGTGGATGAATCCGCCCTATGGGGCATTGATGGAAGGAGGGAGAGAAGGATCAGAGTACATTAGAGATTTCAGAGGAAGAGGATTCAAGTCAAGGTGGAGATTTGTTGATGTGACTTGAATAGGACTATCAGCCGCTACGACTGGAAGTCATGGGGGTCTCGCTGGTATTTGGGGCAACGCCCTCGGCCAATGGTGTATGGGCTCAATGTTATTTGGGTTCGGGTTCTAGGCTTGGTTGTAACCACTTTTCCTTTACCAAATTGGATTAGGGTTAGACTTAGGAGAAGTACTATAAATACTTCTCATACTCCTTTGCAATCTGTATCTCCTTGAATTATAGTGAAACTGGCTCTGTCCTGCCTGTGGACTAGCTAACACACATTGTGTTAGTGAACCACGTAAATCGTGTGTTATATGTGCTTTCGTTTTCTTGCATTGTCGAATCCTCCAATTTCCCGATCTGCATAAGCAACAGTCATGACAAGTGGTATCATATCCTAGTTCGATTCGGGGCGGTGGACATTAGTTTGGTGGGACCCTCATTTGATGACCTCAGATTTTGAGATATGCGTCAATTTGGTGGATCTAGGAGAGTTCCAGGTTTGGGTTTGGCAAATCAAAGAGAGTTTTGCATCTGGGAAGTAGATCAAAGAGAGTTCTGTGTTTGGAAAAATCATTGTACTAAGAAGCCCATGATATAAGGTGTCCGGGAGATCAAGATAATCCCTGAGGTGAGGACACAAAGTTTGCGGTCGTTGTCTTGAGGGGAGGATTCAAGTCGTAACGGCTGATAGTCCGATTCAAGTCACATCAACAGAGCGCTTTGCTGTCTATGCTATTTTGGTGAGGTCCTTCTCCCTTTTTTGTAATTGAGCATGTTAGAAAGACGACTGGGGGTGGGGGGGGGGGGGGGGTCTCCCTCGTAAGAGGAAGCCAGAGAGTGTAGGAGCTTAAGATACAAGAGTGGAGGGAATTGGAATTGATTGATTGAGTGTGGGAGCTTAAAATTTTATGGTATCAAGGACTGAAATATATTATTTTTTCTCCTATAATCTGGTCTAGACGTCGATTTGATTGAGTGCAGACCAATCTGTTGCACTACTTCCTCTTTCTGAATCCAAATCATTCCACCATTAAAAATAAAAGCCAATTAATTCCCCATTATTACCACAATGAGAGAAAACAATTGCATTCAAATTTAATGACCACTAAACCAAAACAACTGGAATATGTGCCTAAAACCTCAATCACTAAATTGCGAAATAAGTTGATATCCACTCAATGAATAAAGTCACTTGAATAACTTCATATTTTAGAGCTTGATATTTTTTGTAAAAAAATCACATTAGAGAAAATTTGTGCACCAAAAAAATAATGTTATTTACACTACTGAAAAATTGTGAACCAAAAAAAATAATAAATAAAATTCTATCATAAAAGAACGAGGAAAAAGCTTCATATTTTTAGAATATTTAACCAACTCCGAGCATTTAGAAACATTGACCAACATTATCTCCCTCCTCCCCCACTCCTTCTTCTTCCCTTTCTTATTCTCCCTCACATTATAAAAACATAAGTCTCATCTTCCATCAAGAGTAAGGAAAAAAACCCCAAATAAACAGCAAGAGCAGTATAGGGGTCAATTCCCCACACAATAATTTAAAAAGATTGTAAGGAAAAACCCGGCTTTTCCCATCGAAGTATCTACAAATATAAACCTTAATCACATATAAAACAAACAGAAACCCAACCAACTTTTATCCTATTTCTTTCATTATCTTCTCCTCTTTGTTAAGATGGGCGATGAAAACAACAATAAGAGGAAGATAATAACGAAGAAGATGGTCATAACGGCCTTCTCTTCCATCCTCTTAGTTGCCATGGGGTTCTTTGCGGGTGTTGCTTACAGCAACAACAACAGCTCTAAAGAAACCGACATCTCCACAACCAGTCGAGTTGACAGTGCTGCGCCTGCAGGGCCTGTGCCACAAGTCATACAAGACCTATGCGCCCCATCCCTCATAAAGGATTTCTGTCAATCCGAAATGATGAAATATGGGGGTACCATGACCGACCCTAAAGAGTTGGTGAAGCTAAGTGTGCAACTAGTATCCAACTCTTTGCAACTTGCACTGAAGGACGCCGAGCCCCTGAAGGCGACCACTACGGAGCCCATGGCAAAGCGGGCCTTGGAGATCTGCGACATCAAGATCAATACAGCTATGGGAGACCTAAACCGATCTGTGACCGAGATAGACAAGTTCGAGCCTGCGACGAGCGAGAAGCAGATCGATAACTTGAAAACTTGGATTGAGGCTACCCTCACCTTTCAGGAGGTCTGCATCGACGCGTTCTCTAATATCACTGGCCCCGACGGCCACAAGATGAGGATGATCCTACAACTTTCTGGCATGGCAGCTTGCAACAGCATGGCCGTAATTGAGGGATGGACAAAATTACTAGAGAAGACCAACCCCGTTCCAGGGGCAGCACATCGGAGGCTTCTTGGAGGTGGAGCGTCAAATAAGAATGATTTCCCTGAGTGGGTTTCACCGACCCAGAGGAAGTTGTTGCAGGCGGCGCCAAGTAACATTAAACCGGACATTGTTGTGGCTCAGGATGGGAGCGGGCAATTCAAGACTGTAAATGAAGCCATCAAGAGCATTGGGCCCAACTATAAAACCCCCTTCGTTATCTATATCAAGACTGGGGTTTATAATGAGCAAGTCATTGTTCCAAACGCGCTTAGTGGGATTGTGTTTATCGGCGACGGCCCGACAAAGACTAAGATCACCGGCAACAAGAATTATAAGGAGGGGTATCATACCCAAGATACACCCACGGTTGGTACGTATTTGATTTGATCCATATGCATCTAGTAAGACTTCATTTGGCAGTCTCGATTGGATATTAATTTCTCATCTTGTGAACAGCGATAATGGCCCCAGGATTCATGGCCAAAGACATGGGGTTCGAGAACACAGCCGGGCCTGAAGGCTTCCAGGCCGTCGCTTTTCTCTCTCAATCTGATTTCTCTGTCTACTACAACTGCCAATTCGATGGCTACCAAGACACCCTCTGCCCTCTAGCCTATCGTCAATTCTACCGTGATTGTGTCATCTCTGGTACCATCGATTTCATCTTTGGTGTCGCTCGCACCGTCATCCAGGGCTGCACCATTGTTGTCAGGAAGCCCATGGATAACCAGCAAAACGTCGTGACTGCCGAGGGTCGTCAGGACCCCAATGGTGTGTCAGCAATCGTGATCATCAACAGTCACATCACGGCCGACCCGGCCTACTTGCCCGTCAAGAACCAATTCCCGACATACTTGGGGCGCCCGTGGAAGAATTTCTCTAGGACCGTCATCATGCACACCGTGATCGACGACATAATCACCCCCGCGGGGTGGGTCCCGTGGGATGTGCGGTGGGGGCTTGACACTCTCTATTATGCGGAGTTTGAGAACACGGGCCCTGGCGCCAACACGCAAGGCCGAGTCACTTGGCCTGGGATTAAGCACATTACACCGCAACAGGCCCAGCAATTTACCCCGGTTAAGTTTTATGCCGAAGGCGATAGTTGGATCAAGGATGCTAATGTACCCTACACTGCCGGAATGTCGTAACTATTATTAACCAATTTTGAAAAATTGTTTTATTTTATTGATTTCTTATTTGGGTGATGTAGAAAAAAAGAGGTAAAGAAGTTTTTTTTTTTTTCATCCATGGTGGTGATTAAATTGATCATCATCATGGAGTGGATCGAAGGTATAACAGGTGATCATATGTATTATTTTATTTTTTTATTCATAGTCCTGTTCATTTTTCTATAAAATGACCATGTGACTCATATGAGCTAATAAAAGGGAAATTTTGTATTTATAGTCTTTCTAATTTTTCTATAAATTTGTTACCTTTGAGGGGGTTGTTGATATTTGATAATATTAATAGGTTAACATTACTTTGTGATTCTGAACTTTCTTCCTCTTGTGATCTTCACTCTTTAGTCTTCAGAGTTAAAAGTAGTCTCATTTGGTTGAGCGTTAACTTGGTTTCCTCGTTTATCGAAGCTTGCTCAGAATTTTATACTTGATGTACAAGCAAAGTTCATATAAATTTTTTGCTTGGTGGACAATGAAATATTCCTTTCCTGAGCAAGGATATTTATTTTCTTCATAGATTTATAAAGACCATGTATTCATTTCTACGGGTATGTAAATAGTTACCATGGTCATTATTGAATCAATTAAGTTTAAATTATATTAACCATGAAATAAAATATCTTAAACCGAATCGATTACATTTTTTGTGTGGAAAACATAGCGCGTAGGGCCGCTCTAACCCTAAAGTATTAATAAAGCGGGGGGATTGGACCCCAATACTGTTGAAGTACAACCAATAACTCAGAGTATGACTCGGATTCTGGAAAACATGAACCCCTACAGATAGTGAATGGCCAAAAGAGACCAAAAAAGCAGCAACAACGTTGTGTTCAGTGTTCACGAAAGACGTGGATAATCTGTACTTCCCAGTCAAGGTGCAACAATCTTCTATCGACAGCCACCAAGGCGTTGTACAGATTGAAATCGGGAGCTGACCTGATTAATTGGACTGTCGTGGCGGAATCTGTTTGCACTACTACCTTTCTCAGGCATTGATCCCCAAGCAAGCTGAAGACCATGTTTGATCCCGGCTAACTTAGCGTGTGTTATAAGCCTCCTCCAAAGAGAGACGAATCAATTGTCAAGCTACGGTCGCCCAAATAATGAAGCGCCCACTTGTTCATGTTCCCATCGAAGAAAGTATCATCTAGCTCATCCATCACCTAGCATAAGAACAATCTTGAATCACATGTAAAGTAGTCTCGGGCTCGTCACCACAAAGGCGGCGTACATCGGATAGTGCTAGATGCCTAATGACATCGCTCTGCATTTGTAAGTAGACTGTCATGCAAAACCAGCCAAAAGAGCGCCCGGGTGCGCTGGGACCTTGAATTCTCCATATAACTCGCCATACCGGATTTTCCACATCGTCCCGTGGTTTGGGGTTTTCATTCATCCTAGTAGCACTTGAAAACCCCAAACCTCTTGCCTCCTTTGGATAATTAATAGTATTCCAGTCAACCAAATTTATCTTCCCACCTTGGTCTGAACTACCCCATATAAATTCGCGGATCTTTCTATCAATATATTCTCTCACAGATTCAGGTAGGAAGTATGTTTGCATGGTATATGCGGGCAATGAGGACAGGACCGACTGGGCAAGAGTGATGCAAGCCGCCATGACTAGCGACGACGCCTTCCACCCTGCAAGCCACGAGTCAATTTGGTTAATCAGCTTTGTGAATGTGGCTTTGATACCCTATCATGGATAACAGGAACCCCCAGATATCATCCAAGATTATGGGTTTCAGGGATATCTAAATCTCCACGCAACACTCTACTCTCCGCTGCTGACACATTCTTGAAAAAGAAAACTCTAGACTTCGGTTTGCTGACTTGTTGCCCCGAAGCCACGCCAAATTCTTCCAAGCATTGCGTTATAACCTGAACTTGTTCCAATGAGGCCACACTGAAGAGTATTAAGTCATCCGCAAAGAACAAGTGAGATAGTGTTGGCCCATGTCGGGATAGCTTAATCGTCTTCCAGGCTCCATTCTCCACTGTCGCAGAAATAAGATCCCCTAATCGCTCCATACATAGTGTAATATATAAGGGGATAAGGTACATCTTTGTCGAAGACCTTGGGATGGAACAAAAGCCTCATATACATTGTTCTCGCATGGAAAAAATTGGTATTCCACCTCCACTTCAGGTTCCGTTGGAGTCGCCGGCTTGGTACAATAACACCTAGATCTCTCGAAATTCCACATTGCAAACATATCTTCTCCAACCCTTCATATTGAATGAAGTATTTGTTATAACTGTGCTGCTACAGATCGGAAAATCGGAGGATTCGACAAAGCCTGAAAACGAAAAAAACAAAAAGCACACTGACAAATTATTTATGTGGTTCACTAACACAATGTTTGTTAGCTAGTCCACAGACAGGAGAGAGCCAGTTATCACTATATTGAGGAGTATGAGAAGCGACTGATATTCCGATTCAAGTCACATCAATAAAATTTCTTCCCATGGATTGTATTGAGATAGTCGTGATATCCACTTGAATACACACCCAGGCATAGTCGCTGCAAGCTCCCGTGTTTTCGTAGCATGGTCTACCCGGATTGGTTTTCCAATTCGCCTCCCGACCTTCAAAAATGCTTCAGGGTGGAAATATTAGATAGGAATATCCAGCAACCAAGCCCAAACCAGATTTGAGGATATCTCATGATTATAAGGATCGAAATGTTTTGTCCAGGGGTGGCATGTTAAGTAGTTTTCTCCCACCAACCAGGGCCCTCCCGTCACCGCTCGTTCATAAATCTCGCTTGTGAAACGTACAAGGAAGTAACCGATTCTTTGTTGAAGTGACTTGGATCGATCTCGCCTTTGCCCAGATAATATTAAGTCTCTTTGCAACTATCGTGTCTGACACAGAGCTGCCCAGCACCTTAACTACTACCGCCGAACGTCATTCCCTGCATTGGTTCCCGTTTGGGGCATCCTTCAGCATCTCGTCTTCTGTGTCATTGTTTTCTACCTGCATCACCGTTGGTTTGGCTCGTTTCTTCGTATGTTGTGATTCTCGATCTGTCTTAGAGTTCGGCGAAGATAACTCTATGGGTGGATGTTGCTGCCCAGCCACCGTCTCAGCCGGAGGAGGATCCTCGGAGTCTCCCTCAGCCAGTGGTGAAGCCACCGCCGACATGAGTCCTGGTGAAACCCTAGTTTTAGTTCGTCAGGTGTCCTCGCTCCTAGGTTTTCGGAGCACTTGTCTCTCCTTCTTTGGTCTCCAAATTAATTCACTGAACCGATTACATTAAAACAACAATCAAATTATGAAGCAAAAGTTTAATCAGTTTAGATAATTATTAAAGAATATTGAAGCATAGGGTAAAATACCTCGGAAACCACTTAAATTTGAAAATTGGGGTAGACATACCACTTAAGTATGAATAGGGCTACGTGTACCATTAAAGTTGCCAAAATGTGCATCAGTCTAGTTTTCCATCCAACCGAAACTTTTAATTACCTTTTGATATCCAAAAATTTTAAAAACTTTCGAAACTATATTTCAACAATTATTATCTAATATAAAATTAGAAAACCTTCTAAACATACTATTACTAGATTGCTAGTGAATTGTTTTTAATAAAATAGATAAAAAAAATAATAAACGAATATCAATAAGAAATAATAATTATTTAAAATCAATATTGGAAGACCTATTTAAACTTCTAATACAATTAGAAGCAAGCACTAAAAACAGCTAAAGTAGAACCTAATCGATTATCAATACATCAAGACCAAAGAAAGATAAATGAAACACAGTAAAAAATAATTAAACATATTCCGGCAATTGAAAAAAATTAAAACGGAAAGAGACGGAAAGTAACCAAGTAATAAGTAAACTATAAAAGCTACGACATTCAATAAAAAATGTAGAAAAGAAAATATGACTATAGGCATAAAATTAAAATTAGTAAATTTAGCTAATATGCAACACTTATAATATAATATTAGATAATTATAAGGAGATTTAACATGGAAATTTAGACAACATCAGCATGATGTAAGAGAACTAAATCTAACATCTTTATATTATTTATATCGAGACAGAATTCCTAGAATATATTTGCTTCAGGAGATAATTCAATTATTAGTAATTGAAAATATTTATATAGATAATTGATTCTAAATTTCATATTCAAAAACTGATTTGGTGAAGAGAATTCCAACTAAACAATAAAAATGATGTTTCTCATAAATTCAGAGGATTTTTTTAGAATAAGAAAAGTAGAAGGATTAATTCTTAAATTTAGAAAAGAATGGAATGCACTTGATTGTAAACTTAAGTGGTACCGGGTGCACATATAATAGTGTTCAGCGGCACGCGATGCCCTATTCTTATTTAAGTATGGCTCCTCCAATTCTCATAGTTTAGTGGTACCCGAGTTATTTTACCATAAAACGAGGCTTTTTAAATTCAAAGGCTTATATATGCCTACTTGAAGATTTCAACGTTCTTCATCCTCAATCTGCCTTTAGCAAATCAATTTGACATTTTTATTATGAAGAAATTATGCTTTCATGAACCAACCCAGCACACCAGTTTTAATTTTCACTTGGTTCATTAGTAACTCCTCGCTAAAACCATTTTAAGAAGACGTTAGGAATAGCTTATGTGCTAAAATGTGTAGTAACTAGTCGATCTCAATAACTCAAATTGTTGAGAAAGATTCAAAAACGATTCTTATACTAAATTCTTATACGTGCCCTTGCAAAGGAAAGTTAATCTTTATGGGTTTAAAATGTGCACAAGCCCACCAAAATGTGTGCTTTAAATCCATTTTTAATTTTGGGGTCGTGAGGATTCGTGCACACGACACCTCTCGATTAAAAACTCTTATAGCATGTCGTTGCACACATCCTTAACCGGAAGCCAACTCGCGGACTTGAATTTTGCATACGCTCATCATGTCATTTGCTTTACACAACTGTTAATAATTAATATTGAGATTTTTCAAGGTTCACACAGGAGTCATCGAGACATGCAGGTCAAAGGACATTATGATATCATATCAAAAACCAATTGGTCTCAACAAATAGAGTTGTCGGGAAAGATACAAGAATATATCTTATACAATTCTTTGTCCAAAAATGCATCTTTTAACATTCCTTTATCGTATTGCTAGTGTCCGATGGCTAATGTATAAACTTCAAGAGATGGAATGAATGAGGTAGATAGACAAGCTGGTAATGTTGGATGATCTCAAGTCAGGATTAACGATTCTCCTGGACTAGACTGTTGCTGATTTTCAGGAATCCAGAGGGAAAGCGAAGCTAATCAAATGTGATGAAAGGAGTTTTGATAGGGCAAAAGCGTATATGCCAATTTCCTATCTCGTAGTAAACCGGAAAGTCCGGGTATCGTCTCTCAGGGACTGGTACAACCTTATGATTTATCAAGTTTGTAGAGCAAACTATATGTGAAAATGTTTAATGAGATGAAACTATGATCTACTAGCAAAGTAATTAAACAAAACAAGCAAATTAAAATGTCGGGATTAATTCAATGGGAGAAAGCTCTGGGAGAAATACCAGGATTCACTACCTATCCAGATTAATTCACATATTCCAATCAATTTAATCCATACCTCTACAGCCAGGATATCACGAATGTGCTAGCTATCCCTGTCGGGAATTACTACGTACTAAACAATTAATTCAAATCCTACTGTCGTAGCTCAATGAGTTAATTATTTAGTCTGAAGATCGATATCCTATTTAAGGCCGCATAGCACCTTATTTAATCCACTGTCGCTTCGATAAGTTACTATGTCACATGAAATAGGTTCAGTTATTAGGGTTTCACTGTCGCTAATAACCTAATTAACTACAATTCATTGTATTGGTGGCCAGTCAACACAAAGCATTAAGCAATTCCATGCAATAGAGATTGGAAGAAAAGAAATATGAATCAATCCATCAAACATAGAAAATAGCTACATCCTATGGTGTTTCCCCCAGAAATCGGGGTTTAGTTCATGACGAAATTAAGATAAATCGATAGGGTTTTGTTCATCATGTTCTAAATCAACAAGAAACAACTAATTAGGTTTAGTAAATCAAACCAACTAATCGCTCTCGTTGAACTCAGCTCAAGTAGCCTTGAAAATCTCAATCGTCGATTGAGAATCGCCTGGTCGCTCGATGCCTGCTGCTGCCTTGCTGCGCCGCTCGCTGCTCTCTCCCCAAGAATTCCGCCCTGCGCCTCTTTCTTCCTTCTCCAAAACAATTCTTCGTGTCCACCAAAATAAAGTGCCCCAAAGAAAACCCTTCCTCCCCGTCAATAAAATTCCGTTCCGCCTGTTCCCCCCAAGAGATTTTGTCTCTTTTGCCCACCAGAAAAACCCAAAAGCCACCGACCTCAAATTCCAAGCCCAAAAGCCATTTCCGCCCGCCTCTTTTCTTCTGCCCAGCAATTGGGTTCCGCCCGTGTCCAAAGAAATGTCTGGCCCAATGATTCCGTCCAAAAATCCAAAAGAGAGTCCCGGCCCAAATCAATTCTCTGTGCACTCGCTTCTTTTTCGTGCTATCTCTACCTGTAACACATCAAACTCAAGGCACTAGGCAGTAATGGTTTTTCAACTATTCTCGGGTTAGCGAGCCCTAAAATAACACCAATTGACTAAAACATACCATGGATAATCACATATAGTCCAAGAATCTGATATATTAAAGCCGAATATCACAACCCCACACTCAATTGCTGCTTGTCCCTAAGCAACGACTCAAACAACACAAACACATAATTATCCCAAAACAATGACACATTACAGACTCACTAATCAAACACTCAAAGCAAAACACAAAATTTCCTTGTACTCTTGTCGTAATCAGTAGTTTCTTTCTCAATGGACAAGTTGTGCTTTAATGGTCATACCTTTCACCCCACACTCAAGTTCTTTGCAACCATTACCATTGACTGACTCAAATCCATCAAAAACTCAAATGGCAACACTCAATTTCGATCGTCAGTAGCGGGTGATTAACAACTTATGGTGGAATAGTTATTAGGAGAATCTAACCACATCAGTGAGGTGCATATCTCGTGAGGACAATCTAGCTTACTCACACCAATTATAAGCAATTAATTAAGCATGAGTCTAAAAAACTAACGGGGGAAGCCTTTCGCAAACATGATTTTAACTTTAAGCACATCACTACCTTTTATGACAAGGAGAGGCTTTCTCTCTTTCTGCTTTTGCTTGCCGAGAAGTCGTATTTAGTACAAGTGGGATTTGTTTCTTACTACCTGTGACCGAGCAAGAGCAATTTCTGCTTCTTAGCACTCGCATAAGGGCTTCTTTTAACTTCTTATCCTCGGTCCGTGTGGAGGGTCATTGCATCCTCTAATGGCACTTCACTCAACTGGGGATCGTACTTGATAAGCAACATCGTACGGTCGCGAACCGATTCTCAATTGAATCTTTCCTCATCCCCATGTGCAATGAGTGATTGCCTCACACGATTTTGGCATTTTTACCCACACTTTAATTGTTATGGCAACTTTCTTATATTTTACTTGTCAGGTAGTGTTTTCTTTTATAAAGATACAGTTCACCCCATCATAAAACATTCAAAACAGAGAGACTCATTGCAAAATCAAAAGCTCACAATTGATGCAAGTAAGCACGGTATCCAAACATATCGAATGGTCAATGTTCTCCACCTAACTACTTCACCAAAATTCGTTACACTATCCTCACAAAAGAGAATGTTGCTAAAAGAGTTGCTCATTCCAAGCATATCAAGTCAGTCAAAACATTCAAGCTCATTGTGAAGAACTATGCAATTCAACACTAGTGGGGTGATTTCGATGATTTCATTCAAGCACAAACTCATTTTCAAGGCATCACGGTCATTTACATCATGTTACCACAAGAGTACAAGGTTTTGTTTTAAATTTTTCTGATTTTTAGGTGTTTTTTAGCCATTAGCTTTGCACAGGCAGCATGCTTTTTACACAGGCAGACTGCTTTTTACACAGGCAAACTGCATGCAGTTTGGCTGTGCTCAACCTAATGGCAATTTTTTTTGTTTTTTTTTTGAATTTTTTTTTACCACATGCAACAGGGACAAACAACAATAAGACTCACCACCCCACACTCAGGATGGAACATTGTCCCTAATGTTCAACTCCTAATCTAAACATGCACGGGTTTGACACAACAAAAAAGAAAAATAAAGAAAAGAAAACTTACCTTGGGTTGCCTCCCAAGAAGCGCTTGTTTAACGTCCTCAGCCTGACGTTCATGGAGCTTTCAACCAATGGGTATGGAAAGCTATCCAGCATACCCTCCCGAGCAATGATTAAACGCATAACCTCCATCCAACATATGAGTCACCTCTGCAGGGCCAGGTGTGCGAAAATTGGGTACGACCTTCTTAGCTGGCATGTTAGACCCTTTAGTGAGGCGTAGGTGGTACTGCAGTGCCTCAAGCAAGTACTCTTCCTGTTTTGATGTTAGTGAAGAAGGAATAATAACAGGAAGGTTGAAATCCTTACCCAAATATCGATACTTGAGGTAACCTGGCAAGGATTTCTGCCCTTGCTTTGATTTCAGACTTTCAACTGCTAGGACATGTGATAGTTCTTTGGGTGGTCCACTATCACAGGAAGAAGAATTTTCCCTTTCTCGAGCTCCACTTTCAAATTCATCATGATTATGGTCAACTTGAAAGACATTAAAAATTTCCTCCTCCTTACCTACTCGGAATGTCAACTTGCCTCTCCCAACATCGATGAGTGCATCACCAGTTGCTAGAAAAGGTCTGCCGAGAATTAGAGGCACTCCTCGATCATCTTCCATCTCCAGAATTACAAAATCTGTTGGGAGAATAAACTTCCCCACCTTCACCAATACATTCTCCACCACTCCTTTCGGAATTTTTACTGATCGATCAGCCAATTGGAGAGTGATCCGAGTAGGCTTAAGAACATCTCCCAATCCCAATTTCTTGTAGACTGAGTATGGCATCAAATTAATTCCTGCTCCAAGATCACAAAGTGATTTATTGAATTCTGTACCTCCAATGACACATGGAATGGTGAAGCTGCCCGGATCATCCCTCTTTTCTGGTAATTTATTCTGAATCACAGCACTACATTCAGAAGTAAGGGTTACCTTCTCTAGATCAGCCCATTTCCGCTTCTTTGTCAGCAACTCCCTTAAGAATTTAGCATATGTAGGCATTTGTTCAAGTGCCTCCGCCAAGGGTATGTTAATCTGAAGTTGCTTGAAGATATTCACAAATTTCTTGAAGTTTGGGTCTTCCATGGGCTTCATTAACCTTTGAGGGAATGGTGCGGGAGGTTCATAAGGTTTTACCTCTTCATTCTTCAATTTTTCCACTTTTTGAGGTACACGGGCAGCATGCTTTTGCACAGGCAAACTGCTTTCATTTTGCCTGTGCAAGGCTGATTCTTCATTTTCTGCACAAGATCTTTCTCCCGGTGCTTCCTCTTCTGCCTCTGGTACCTTTTTCGAGCTGCTAGGGTCTTCCAAGGCCTTTCCACTCCTCAATGTCACTGCTACAACCATGGCATCCTTCGGATTCCTCTCAGTATTTGCTGGTAATGTCCCAGGAATCCTGCCTTGCATATCTGCCAAAGTTTGAGCCATCTGTCCCATCTGCCTCTCCATAGCTAGCATAGACGATTGTAAATTATTGTTGATGGCTAGCTGTTGAGTGTGGGGTGGTGGTGTAGGGACGACAGGTGATGAAGCCTGCCCTCTCTGGGTTAGGGAAGGCCTAGTGGTTGTGGTTGGCTGCTTCCCTAACTTGACCTGCTTCCTGTTCTGTCGGCAGGTCTTCTCGATCTCCAGATCTAGTGGCAGTAAATCGCCGGTCGTCCTCCTAGGCATGCACGAGGAGGATAAACCTGAAAATTCTTCTGCACACTAACACCCAGATCAAAATAGTTCACTCACAAAAATCAATAAAAATAAGGTATGGCAGTCCCCGGCAACGGCGCCAAAAACTTGATAGGGCAAAAGCGTATATGCCAATTTACTATCTCGTAGTAAACCGGAAAGTCCGGGTATCGTCTCTCAGGGACTGGTACAACCTTATGATTTATCAAGTTTGTAGAGCAAACTATATGTGAAAATGTTTAATGAGATGAAACTATGATCTACTAGCAAAGTAATTAAACAAAACAAGCAAATTAAAATGTCGGGTTTAATTCAATGGGAGAAAGCTCTGGGAGAAACACCAGGATTCACTACCTATCCTATCCAGATTAATTCACATATTCCAATCAATTTAATCCATACCTCTACAGCCAGGATATCACGAATGTGCTAGCTATCCCTGTCGGGAATTACTACGTACTAAACAATTAATTCAAATCCTACTGTCGTAGGTCAATGAGTTAATTATTTAGTCTGAAGATCGATATCCTATTTAAGGCCGCATAGCACCTTATTTAATCCATTGTCGCTTCGATAAGTTACTATGTCACATGAAATAGGTTCAGTTATTAGGGTTTCACTGTCACTAATAACCTAATTAACTACAATTCATTGTATTGGTGGCCAGTCAACACAAAGCATTAAGCAATTCCATGCAATAGAGATTGGAAGAAAAGAAATATGAATCCACTACAACAAATTCGGCCTATTAGGACAAAAAAATTATTTTGTCATTTTCTGTTTGTCACAATAGGTACGATGATATGACAAAAATAATATATGTCCTATTTGGTATGCCTAATGTGACAAAATAAATGTTGTCAGAATAAGTCGTCATTCAAACTAAGTAATGTGACAAATATTTTGTGTCACAATTAATTTTTCAAAATAGGCGTCCCATATCGGGATGTAAGAGACTCAACAGTGACAAATTTCTTGTTGTCAGAATATTTCTTCATTTAAAGTGAGTAATGTGACAAATATTTTGTGTCACAATTCAGTTTGTCAAATTATGTATTCCTGAATTGTTTAAATGACAGTATTTTGTCACAATAGATAGCAATAATCCAACGACAAGCTGACAAAAGGGCATGTTCGTCATAATATAGTGGTTTCGACTTTGACAAAAGGCATGTTCGTCATAATATAGTGATTTCATTTTTGACAAAAGATATTTTCGTCATATTTGATTGTTGAACTCACACAAATCCCATTCCCCACCCAAAATTCGACCATAACCCGCCTAAATTATAGCCATGTCCCGGCCAAAAAATTTCCCCAAGCCCGCCCACATTTCCCCTGTAATTGAAAAATTCAAATCATGCACCCACCCGCCTGCCCCTAATAACCATTTAATTTATTGATCCTTTTCCCCCTTCTTCTCTTTATCAGTGTTATTATAAACTGAAACTTAAAAAATAAAAAAGGAAAAAACGTTGGGCTCATTGAACCCTAATTCCATTTCGTGAGGAACCAGAGACAAGATCTAAAAGCTCCGCCCCAAAACCCATTGCCTCTTTGTCGCTCGCTGTTGCTCGTTGATTTGGAACCAACGATTTGGCGAAGAAGACTAGTGGTGGTCCTTCCCCTCAATGCAGTCAAATCGCGCTTTAAAACGTAAAATAGTACATTTTTACCTCTATAAGCCACAAAAACGCTTTAGTTTCTACCTAAAATCACACAGTACTTAAAAACGTAAAAAGACATAAGTAAAAGCGGTAAAAACGGTATTAAAAAACGATTAAATCGCATTTCTGCTACGATTTTATACATTTTTTAGCACGTAAAATGAATGCTACGATTTTACCTCTATAAGCCACAAAACGTAGTCGCTTAACAATGTTGAGACAAAAAAAAAAAAAAAATTTGGAAAGGGCTCGGGCTAGCTTTGTCAAGAGACGAGAGGAGGGATTCAGAAATCCAAACCCTACTTCATCTTCTTCTTCAATAGCAGCCGCTCTCCCGCTCGGCGCCACCTTCATCTTCCAGTTCAATCATCGTCGGCTACATCCACCGCTGGTCGCTGCAAATCCATCCGACCCGGCGGCAGCATTTGAAATCCAGTGCCACCTCGTCATTCTTCCCGTTCAAATCATCGCCGGCAGCCTCAGCCGCCTCAATCGTGCGTCTGCCGCTCCAAGAACTTGTCATCGTCACCCCTCCCAACTTGTGTATTTGGAATCAACCTTCTCATTGTTAATTTGGAATCATTTTCCTTTGTTCTTGCAAAACTTGTCATCGTCTCCCCTCACAACTCCTCTCTACCTTTGCAATTCTGCTAACTAAGGTGGGTGGGTTTGCTAAAAAATAACTTTTTTACTTGGTATCTATTCAATTATGTGTAGTGTAATTGCCTACTATGTCGATTTCCCCTTGTTTTAGCCATATTATTGCTTGTGCTGATATTGGGAGATTCACAGGAGTTCAAAGGGGGGATTGGAATAGTGGATTGCTTCCCGTGTCAGCTTTTGATTGCAGAGCTATAACTTTATAAATGCTAATTTGCTACTGCTTTCTTAGTTTAGAGTAGCCTAAATTTTCCTTGTCTTCTTTGTTTTGTTGTTTATTAAACTCTTGGTTTAATGAACTTGATAATTTCACCATCGTCATTTCTTTATTTATCTTACTTGTGATCAATGTTTATGAACTCTTGGTTCACATGATATGAGTAATGATTTATTGCAGGTAATTATTCACTTATCTATAATTTCTACACTAACAATTTTTTATATAGTACATATCGTACTTAACAGATTTTAGCTATTTTATTGGATGCATAAAAAACTTACGCTTTTGTTTTTCCTCTTCTTTCATTAGTTATTGTTTGTTGGAGCTAATAGACTCTTCTTTGGTTCCATGGAAAATTCTATAAAGGTGTGTTCACTCTCATTATCTTATCATACTACCTGTTTCAGCTATATTTTAATTAAACAGTCATGTTTGCTATATATATTCAATTGTATTGTCTGGTTTTACTAGACACATTATGAATTTTCTGGCATAGGAAAGAACTTTCAGAACCTGAAACTGAGAACATGGTTTACATTTTGACCTGAATTTTCCTGGCACAGGATATTGTTTACCAAAGTGTGAAAACTAGGAGCTTCAAAATCTAATCCAAGAAAATGCTTAGAGCAAATCGTTCACAAATCTTGTCCGTTCGACCAGAGCTTCGTTGTTCTCATCAGAAGTCCAAGAGGATCGAGATCATCACCGTATCATCATTGACTTGAGGAGCCAGTCATGAGATTATTTAGAAGGTCCTGAAGAAAAATGTGAAGTATGGACCAAAGGTGAACCCAAGATCCACAAAGGAGTTAGAATGTTTTGTGTCATAGTGAACAACTTAGAATGTTTGGTTATGCTGAACAAGGAATTAGACTGCCATGGAAATGGTTGTAATGTCTTGGATCTTTGATAATCTTTCCATTATCAGGTTGCAATGCACCAAACAATTTCGAATTATGAAATTTTTGAAGCAGGTCAAATGTGACAACAATGTCATGTCGTCACATTATGTACATTGCCTGACAAATTTTTCTCTTGTCCTATTAGACATGAGACAATTAAACCACCTTTCCTAACAACCTATACTCTTCATAATATGCAGTTATGACAAAGTATATTCATCATAATATTCAGTTATGACAAAATAATGTTGTCACAATAAACACTTGAGACAAAATGTAGTCGTTACAGTTATGACAAAATATAATCGTGTAATATGACGAAAATTCTCCCCAAAATCACTAAATTATGACAACCATAATGACAAAATATGTCGTCATAACATCTTTTTTTTGTTGTCACAATAGACTACCCAGAACCTCAGCTATACTGAAAGCAAATGTGACAACCTTGTTTTAAATTTTTGTCACATTTGACCTATCTTGACGGCGATAAAATGACAAACCTTTGTGACAACAGCTCTTGCCATATTATACCTAATATGACAAAAATGGTATCTAATATGACCAAATTGCCTCGTCATAATAAGCCGAATTTGTTGTAGTGATCAATCCATCAAACATAGAAAATAGCTACATCCTATGGTGTTTCCCCCAGAAATCGGGGTTTAGTTCATGACGAAATTAAGATAAATCGATAGGGTTTTGTTCATCATGTTCTAAATCAACAAGAAACAACTAATTAGGTTTAGAAAATCAAACCAACTAATCGCTCTCGTTGAACTCAGCTCAGGTAGCCTTGAAAATCTCAATCGTCGATTGAGAATCGCCTGGTCGCTCGATGCCTGCTGCTGCCTTGCTGCGCCGCTCGCTGCTCTCTCCCCAAGAATTCCGCCCTGCGCCTCTTTCTTCCTTCTCCAAAACAATTCTTCGTGTCCACCAAAATAAAGTTCCCCAAAGAAAACCCTTCCTCCCCGTCAATAAAATTCGGTTCCGCCTGTTCCCCCCAAGAGATTTTGTCTCTTTTGCCCACCAGAAAAACCCAAAAGCCACCGACCTCAAATTCCAAGCCCAAAAGCCATTTCCGCCCGCCTCTTTTCTTCTGCCCAGCAATTGGGTTCCGCCCGTGTCCAAAGAAATGTCTGGCCCAATGATTCCGTCCAAAAATCCAAAAGAGAGTCCCGGCCCAAATCGATTCTCTGTGCACTCGCTTCTTTTTCGTGCTATCTCTACCTGTAACACATCAAACTCAAGGCACTAGGCAGTAATGGTTTTTCAACTATTCTCGGGTTAGCGAGCCCTAAAATAACACCAATTGACTAAAACATACCATGGATAATCACATAAAGTCCAAGAATCTGATATATTAAAGCCGAATATCAAGTTTCCTTACTTGGTCCAACGGCTCTTTCTCTGCAGCCTTAAATTTATAGTTGCTCTTTTGTAGCAGAGTACTTTTGTAGGAGGAAAAAGCAGGTGGCATCAGTGGCGGAGCCAGGAAATTGACCAAGGGGTGTCTTTATCATATCATAAAAAATCACCTATACAATAGAAAAGTCAACTTTAAATTAAACAAAAAGTCAACAACGCAATACTCTAAATTCACACAATTACATCAAAATAGTTTCACGTACACCGGTTACAACGTCAAACAAATAAGTTCAGTACATACAAATCAAGACTTCCATTCATCAAATATTACAAATTAGAACTCAGAAGTACCTTGGAATTGATTTTGTGAAACAAACAAGTGAACTTCAATTGGTACTTCTTCACTTTCAACTTTGTTTAAACAAAAGACAAGAAATTTCTCTGTTGTAGAGCTACAAAAAAAAAAAACAGCGAGTTTAAACAAAAGACAACAATTTATTACTATAAATAAAGACGAAAGTGCATTACATAACAAAACTCACTCGATCGAAATGATAAGAAATTCTTTCTGCAACTGAATGGTCATTGGTTGGAATTTGTATATACCCCTACTCGAAAAAAAATTCTCCAAAGCCAAGGGGGGTGCAAAGCACCCCCTCCTCTCCAAGTGGCTCCGCCACTGGGTGGCATCAGATCTGTCTG